AGATGATGTGTTTCTTTGATTGTCCAAGTAGCTGTAATACAGCGATGATTTGTTTATTTGATTGCCCTAGTAGCTGTAATACAGCAATGATTTGTTTGTATTATTGCCCTAGTAGCTGTAATACAGAGATGATTTGTTTCTTTGATTGTTCAAGTAGCTGTAATACAGCAATGATTTGTTTGTTTGATTGCCCTAGTAGCTGTAATACAGCGATGATTTGTTTGTTTGTTTGCCCTGAGCAGAGCACAGATGGCCTATTGTGTAGCTTTGTGCTTAACTTCAAACAAACAAATCATCGCTGTATTACAGCTACTAGGGCAATCAAACAAACAAATCATCTGCTGTATTACAGCTACTAACAACGCTAGAATCCGGGTTTCGATACCCGTGGTGGGCAGCGCACAGATAGCCCATTGTGTAGTTTTGTGCATAAATACAAACAATCCATTAAGTATGTAGTCTGAACAGAAACGCCCCCCCAGTGGCACAGCGGTATGTCTGCGGACTTACAACGCTAGAATCCGGGTTTCGATACCCGTGGAAGTCCGCAGACATACCGCTGTGCTATTGGGGGGGGGCTACTTAGTGGAAACTATGTCATCCATCGGATACGAGAACAGTATTTTATGGTTGAAATAAAACCGATGCCGATAATTAGACAAAATATTCACGTAAAGACGAATCATACATAAACGTTCTTCTATAAATATGGTTGTCTATATAAATATATTTAAAACCGAACGTTTGTTATTTCATACAGTACAGATGGGCCCGGCATGGCCAAGTGGTTAGGGCGCTCGACTCGCAATCTGAGGGTCGCGGGTTCGAATCACCGTCACACCAAACATGCTCGCCCTTTCAGCCGTGGGGGCGTTATAATGTGACGGTTAATCCCACTATTCGTTGATAAAAGAGTAGCCCAAGAGTTGACGGTGGGTGGTGATGACTCTAAGTCTTCCCTCTAGTCTTACATTGCTAAATTAGGGACGGCTAGCGCGGATAGCCCTCGTGTAGCTTTGCGCGAAATTCAAAACAAACAAACAATACAGTACAACTACTTGACGCATAAAGTCCGTTCAGTATTGAAAATGATATGATGAGTATATACAATTTCTTTAATAATGAGGGACACTTTCTTCTGAAAACTACCACAATATAATCGGTTCTTCTCGTTGTCTACCTCCGGAAAGAATAGAGACGACACGTCCTGGCTTTACATTCTCAACTAAACTACGCGTCTCGTCTTAGGTCAGTTATTTGTTTACAGTTATCCAATTTTCCTTTCTCGTTTAACATAATTACACGTGCTTCCTAGTTATATATCTGTCTTCTCTTTAACTTACCGACGTTTTTATTATTATCTTTTCCATAGCACACGAAGAACTCAGAAACCCAAATTATTATTAATTACCCCCCTCCCTCCAATAAGACGCTCACCAGTTTCCCAGGTACACCTTTCTGTTTCACTTCAGGACTTCCCAAATGAAAACTGCGGCGTGTATCGAACCCCGCCCCGAATGACGCCCCTGATTAGCACGTGATCTGACCCTAAAATATGTTTTAATTCTATAACATGCAGGGCAATGCATGTACCTAACATTAGATACATCATTTATAGATTAAACAATACATCAGCTCGTACCCGAGTAAATAAAATCGTACACGAGCAAACAGTACGAAACTGTGGGTTTATAACCCCAAAAATTCGTTTGCCCCTACTTTCGGGGGGGCTCCATAAATGGCAGTTTCGGTGAATCTTTTCTAACTATAGACTAGTTAAACTATAGAAGCGACTGATTTAATTCTATATACATGAAAAATGTATATATATATATTTAACTGTAGACTAGTTATAGTCTGAAGAGGTATAACATGAATGCATCTTTCTCATTGTGTCTAAGAAATATACACTAATGTTAAACTTGAGAGAGATTGTACATGAAAAAGATATATTCATATCAAACTCATGTTGTACCTGAGGAAAATAAGTCCATGTTATACCCGAAAGAGACACGCTCATGATGGGCTTGAGGAAAATACACTCACGTTGCACATGAGGGAAATACTTTCATGTTGTACCCGAATAAGACATGCTCATGATGGGCTTGAGGAAAATACACTCACGTTGCACATGAGGGAAATACTTTCATGTTGTACCCGAAAGAGACACGCTCATGATGGGCTTGAGGAAAATACACTCACGTTGCACATGAGGGAAATACTTTCATGTTGTACGTAAAATACACTTATGTTAAGAAATATATATATCAGGTTAAAATATTCGTGCGATGTTGTTTATGTGAGCATTAATTACTGATATAAATAAGTACAGAAAATATTGCTGAAATCATCCCTTGCTTATAGCTTAATTTATAAGTAAAATAAGCAGTTCTAGGCTTAATGAGAGTCACTTCTGGTTGGCGAAGACTTCGTGGAATTGAAACTTAAAGACAACTTGTGTTAGGGTTTCTTTTAACACAACGTAAAATCGGGAGACAATGACAACACGTTTAGGGTTAACTAGTATAAGAGGTAAGGTATACAGTTATTGGAGACGTACTGATTTATTACGATAGAGATTTAAAAACTTGTCAATAAAGTGATTTTAACGTGTTTATGTTTTAGCTTCATAACTGGATGTTAATTGTTTTCACGGTTGTTAGCAACACCTTAGTGACAAAAAGATGTATGATGTAATCCAAGCTCTTCTCATCCCATACAGGGTCCATCTCAGGACCTTTCTAAAGACAACGAAGGACTAGCGGTCACAACACAGAATAATACTACAAATTACTAACTAATTAACAATTGTACTTAGGTGGGCCTGTAGCCCAGTAACCACGACAACGATTAAGTGAACCAGTGTGTATTGAATCAACAAAATTCACATAACTTGTTCCCGTTTAATATTTGAGTTAGATGATTTGAGAAAAATATTTTTTTTTGTCAAAGAAATAAAAACAAAAAAGCTCACATATAGGTAAAGTGACATTTATTGATCAAATATAAAATTTCAAGTGACAGACGACAGACTCTGGATAAATGGAATAGAATCAACAGTGAAGTCAAATTGTGATTTTCGTTCTGTTTCTTCAAGAGACTCAACCATGAAGAGACAAGTTGTTGGCCAAGTGAGTGAGAGTCGAAGAGTAAAGATGTAAGCAGTGGAAGTAACGATGGAAGAGCACGTGTGTGCAGCGCCCTCTGTTGGAAAGACAACTTTTAAAGAGAAGGAGCGTCTTTTCTTCGGACGCCTAGAACGTGGCCGCGGGCTGAGATTGAGAACAAGAGTTCAACAGCCGAGTATTAGATAAGAGTGGGAAAAGATTTCCGTTTAAAGACGCGAAAAATCTCCGGTACAATGTTTTCTACTTCTTCGTCGCATGGCTTACCTAGTTAGGGACAAAATAAGAGATCATTAAGCCATATTGCATACCAACGTTTGTATTTATCTAAAGCAGCTAAACGTGAATGTTTGAAGGCAAGTAATTTTCTAAATGCAAACAAATATGGACACAGATTGTAAAAAAAAAAAAAAGAGCAAAAAAATTAGCTTGGCAGTCATAACAGTTTTCAAAGTATTGATTATAAAGGGAATAACATAACTATGGATCAAATAAAACCATTGTTTCTGTCACTGTAAAATTTAAATCAATTTAATAATAAACGTTTCTATTGGCTGTCGGATGACATGCGTATAAAAAAAACTGTTGTTTGTGGTTGTACATAAATGATGTGAAGAACCGAAATTATGCTATTCAACGTTGTCATTACCTGAGCTACATTAGTGGTAGGAGCCATGATGAGTTTTCCAAGGACCACCATATCCGTAGCCCTGTCCATAGCCGAGACCACCATACAAATGTCCAAGACCGTATCCATAACCACGTCCACCATAACCATGTCCAAGACCATATCCGTAACCTCGACCATAGCCAAGACCTCGATATCCGTGACCATGGCCATAGCCAAGACCGCCATATCCGTAGCCACGTCCATAGCCAAGACCGCCATATCCATAACCACGTCCATAGCCAAGACCGCCATATCCGTAACCATGTCCATAGCCAAGACCGCCATATCCGTAACCACCTCCATAGCCAAGACCGCCATATAGATGTCCAAGACCATATCCATACCCACGTCCATAACCAAGACCATGTCCGTAAACACGTCTAGCACCGCCATATCCGTAGCCACGTCCATAACCAAGACCATGTCCGTAACCACGTCTAGCACCACCATATCCGTAGCCACGTCCATAACCAAGACCATATCCATAACCACGCCCAGCAGTGCCATATCCAAGGCCGTGTCCAATACCTCCACCGTATCCATAACTAAGTCCACCTAGATTATGTCCACCATATCCTTGGTGGCCATAGCCTGCTCTTAGGTTTCCGTACTTACCATAACCATGATGGCCATATAGACCGTGAGCACCATGAGAACCATGTCCATATTTATTATATGCTCCAAGGTTCTGGTGTCCAGAGTAGTCCTGCAAACCCTTCTTAGCTCCATAAGCTCCATGAGCAGCCCCACCATAGTGGAAACCAGACTTCTTGTCATAAGCATAACTTTTTTCATAGCCTGCTCCTTTATTGCGAGAGTAACTGTCAATATCTTTGTAATGACCACCATATCCACCTACAGCACCATAGATGCCTAGGTTTCTATGACCAATGGATTTATGGAGACCTTGGGCTCCATAACCATGTCTACCATACTGACCGTGAACACCAAGTGCCCCATAACCATGGCGACCATAACCCTTATTTAGATGACCATATCCTCCATACCCTCCATAAGCCCCACCTAAGCCGTATCCTCCTCCACCATAACCACCACCTAAGCCGTATCTTACTCCACCATAACCTCCACCTAATCCGTATCCTACTCCACCATAACCACCACCTACGCCGTATCCTACTCCACCATAACCACCACCTAAACCGTATCTTCCTACACCATAAGCCCCACCTAAACCGTATCCTCCTCCACCATAACCACCACCTACGCCGTATCCTACTCCATAACCACCACCTAAACGGTATCTTGCTCCACCATAACCACCACCTAAACCGTATCTTGCGCCACCATATCCATAACCAAGTCCACCATAACCATGTCCACCATAGCCAAGTCCACCATAGCCAAGTCCACCATAGCCATGTCCACCATAACCATGTCCATATCCAACGCCATAGTAAGGAACACCATAACTCTGTGAAGTATGTAGCTCTTCGTTTTTCTTAGTTTGTTTCTCTTCAGCCACCACATAGCCCAACAACAGCAGGGCTAAGAACACCACCTAGGGGGATAGAAATATGTTTATGAGTTGAGATTTTTAGATGTTAAAACTTGATCTAGGGAAGAAGAAAAAAATTAGAAATTTAGCATGTTAAAATTCACGATGAAGTAACCAGTGTAATTGATAAATGGTCATTTAATGTTTTACAGAACTTATCTAAAAGACGACACAAGATTCAGAGAATCAGGTGTTTCAAAGTACTACCTACAGTTCTCATGATTTTCTTAAAGCTACTCAGACTGTTTAGGAGACACCAGAGCTAGGTTGATTTAATCAGCTGTATCACCTAGCTGTCTATTTATACACAAATTGACAGAACTCTTTTTCATCGTCATCTGTATGACGGGTGCCCTGGCTCACGTGCTGGTCACAGGAAGTGGAACGCCTTTGTACCCGTCACTGTCACAACTTTCTCCGCTGCACTTTGCTAAACTTAGAATGACTCAGACCAAAACTGATTCGTCGGAGCCTCGGGCGTCTTCTCAGACACTCATTCACAACATTCCGAACCAGGAAAACGCAGATAAGATATATAGGAATGTAATTTAAGCTGTTCTGCATATGTTGTTGTTTTTTAATCGCCAGGACAACACGTACGTTATCCCCCTATCTTGAACCAACTGATCAACTTAGCTTCACAGAATGCTTACTAGGCGTGGTCACTTAAGAAGCCCCGAGGGGACGATGGTGGAGTATTAGAACACCGAATTCTTTTATTTTCTGGCTTCACGTGCACTACTGCTTGTTCTATGTCTTACGAGGTGAAACTGGGGAGTGCCTTATTGGGGTAATTATTATTAATAATTTGGGTTTCTGACGTCTTGGTGTAATACGGAAAGTAAAATAACAGTAAAATCGGTAAGTTAAACAGAAGACAGATAAAAACAAATAGCTGACCTAAGGCGAGACGTATATTTTATGTTAGCCGGTACGTGACGTTAACGGAGAGATTAATTTATTTCTGTCTTGTGGAAACCGGAGAGGAACGAAATAGTTTATTTACACGAAAGCTTTAATCATTTGACCAAGTGACAGCGTTTAAAAGTTGAAACAGTTCACAAAAGAATAACGGAGAATTTCTATATAAAACCGTATTGAAGTAGAGAAAGTCACAAAAAAAAAACGCGTTATAAGCGTTACTGGATTCCTGATTGAAAACGACAGCATTTTTTTTTATCGTTAAATATTTGATTTAAAGGCTGTACGAGAATCAAATAAAGAGTAACTCTGAAGGTTCATGGTTCAAGTCCCGTTGCCGCAAAAAAAATGCACTTTGCAGTTTAAACTCTCACAAGACAAGACAAGGATAGCCTCAAGACACAAATATGGATACTGTTGACTAGCTGGCTTCTTCTGTAGTGTATAATTTTAAAATTAGAGACGATTATGAGCAGGTAGTCCTTGTGTAGCTTTGCAGTTTTTGGTGTTGAACCAACAAAGCTACCTTAACACTACCATCTGGTGGTAGGTAGGTCAGTATTGTTAGAAATACAATACTAGAATTAAGAATGGCCAGCATTGTTCAACTTTGTCACAACGATAATAACGATCAAAAACAGAGCTTCTAAAGAAGATTGTTTGACCAGAATGTTTATTTCTTTCACTTACAGCGACTTACGTCAACACTTACTAGTTTACGATATTATATACCGTATTTGCTATTCTATGAGGTAATGTAATTTGCTTACTATACGACTCCCCCCCCCACCCCCCCACACACACATAGTGGCTCAGCGATAAGTTGCAGGCTTACGCCGCTAACCACCGGGTTTCGATACCCGTGGTGGGCAGAGCACAGATGGCCCACTATGTATCTTTGCGCTTAACAGCAACCAAACTTACTATAAGTGTTAATACCTCTTCAGACTATAACTAGTCTACAGTTATATATGTTTTTTATGTCTTCTACTCTACGTTTTAACTTCAAACAAGTTTAAATGTTAGATACTGAAACAGGGTTCTAGTTTACGTAGTACCTCTTCAGACTATAGTTAGTCTAAAGGTGTTAATATACATATTTTTTATGTCTTCTACTCTACGTTTTAACTTCAAACAAGTTTAAATGTTAACCCTGTTTCAGTATCTCTAGTTTACGTAGTACCTCTTCAGACTATAGTTAGTCTAAAGGTGTTAATATACATATTTTTTATGTCTTCTACTCTACGTTTTAACTTCAAACAAGTTTAAATGTTAACCCTGTTTCAGTATCTCTAGTTTACGTAGTACCTCTTCAGA